CATTGGCATCGGAATCTCCCAGATTATTCCCCTCGAATCCGATTCCCTCTTATCATCCCTCCCATTCCCTCCTCTTCCCAAATGCCTATTTAAAACCACCATGCGTGTTCCCAAGAAACCCGTTTCCTTCTGCCTCTCTCTGTTTTCTCCCGACCTTTCCGCTGCCGCCCCTTCCTCTCTCTCTCCCCGCCTCCGCTCTCGCTCTCCCGGTAAACGAAAAGGCATTCACACGATAGGTCCGTTCTTGTTGTCGTCCTCGTTTTTTCTTACAAAAAATTTCAAATTTTTAGCCATTTTTTGAGCTTTTGAAGCGTGAGTTTTGCGAGGGCTGTGTCTGCATTTACGTGTCGCTGGTGGGTTTTTGTTGGTTTGGGATTTTACCTTGTTATCTGGCGTGAAGCTTTTTAGAAGTTCGTAGGAGGAGAGGGCTGTAAGTATTTTGGGGGGGGGCGCGGTTTGAACAGCGAGAAAAGAGAGAGCAAAAAGCACAGAGCTTTTCTTTTAATTTTGAGAAAACTGGAAATTTTAGGTCTCTCCTGGAGCGTAGCTGGGAGGATTCGTGGGGTCGGAACTTAACCTGGTGCACTGTGCGCTCACTTTTGTCTGGCACTTGGGGTAAGTTTCCCGAATCCCGGGTTCTCTGTTCGTAGAAATGGGGTCTTCTTCTTCTGGTTTGTTCCTTCTTCGTTTTCATTTTCCAACAGAAAATGGGGTTTCTGTAAGAAAATGATTTCCGAAATGGGTCAGGTCAAGAATGATGAAAAAAATGAGGACTTTCGAGCTGTTTTATTGAAAAGTACTGTATACAATCATAATCTGAAGCTGTTAATGTATATATGGTGCATCATGCTTTAGTTGAATGAAAATGTCATCGTTTTCAATCACCATCAGAAGCTCTAATTTTTGCTCCACTCCTATAAACTAACAGGAGGTTATCAATTGCATGCCAGCTATTCGATGGAAAGGGGCCACGAGACTGCTGTAGGAGGTGACAAGCCATCACATTTTGCAACTATGGGCTCGACGGATGGTGGTCAGAAACCATGTGTGTGGTCATCTCCCCAAGGAGGATGTAAAATAGACTTAAGAAAGCAGATTTTCTGCAACAGATCGTTGAATATGAAGAATATTGTCGCGGTGGGATTTGATATGGATTACACATTGGCACAGTACAAGCCGGAAACCTTTGAGTCTCTTGCATACGATGGAACTATCCGAAAGTTGGTGTATGATCTAGGATACCCTCGTGAGGTTCGTCTGTTCTATCCTTTGTTCTTTCCATTTCAGGAAGACATTATGTTGCTGACATGTCATATATTATTTTGGTTTCATATTGCGATTAAACCAGTAGCAAACATCATTGCTACCATTTTAAAATATGAGCGATTCGTAGTATGTTGATTAACAATAATTACCTGGCGCAGTTGCTGAATTGGTCCTTCGATTGGACATATATGGTCAGAGGGTTGGTTCTGGATAAGAAGAGAGGCAACATCCTGAAGGTGATCCCGTTGATTATGGTTTTTTGATGTTTTATGTGGTCATTCCAAGTTAGGTTGGATTTCTATTCTTTATTGCATTGCGAATTTCTGTGTGAAATACTTGTATTACATGGATGTGCAGATGGATCGACATAAGTATGTGAAAGTTGCTTACCATGGATTCAAAGAGTTATCTAAGGAAGATAAAGTTAACACCTATGGAAATACATTAATACGGGATTCCTTTGACGAGCCAGATTATATTATCATTGATACCCTCTTTGCTCTAGCTGAAGCTTACATGTTTGCCCAACTGGTTGACTTCAAAGACAAAAATCCAGGAAAAATTCCAGAGGGTGTTGAGTAAGAATACGACTTGCGCCGTGGTCCATGGATGGTAAAATTCTTTGATATCAATATTTATTTTGTTTTTTTTCTTTTCAGTTATGCTGTTATGTACAAGGATGTTCGAGCTGCTGTTGATTTGTGCCACCGTGATGGAACTTTAAAGCAAATGGTGGCAAATGACCCTCAGCGGTAAGGATATAAACATTGTGTATTAGTTTCACATAATGCAGATTAATCAATAATTGAATGGTAAAACAATCTTACTTGGTCTTCATGATTAATGCTACAAGGTATATTAATGAAGATACCTCCATAGTTCCTATGCTCAAAATGCTGAGAGATTCTGGCCGTGCTACATTCCTGGTGACAAACAGGTATTTGTGCTTCTTTTATATCTGTTTAATTAAATTTGAGAATTTTATATGTTTTTGCTGATAATCTATAACACACGTTTTTCTTATAAATTTTTTTACGTCTTACAGTTTATGGGACTACACAAACATTGTGATGAATTTCCTCTGCGAGTCACGTACAGTGGATGGTAGTAGAAAATGCAATTTCGACTGGCTTAAATACTTTGATGTTGTCATCACTGGCAGGTCATGATTTTTCCTTTCCTCTAAGCGTTCTTTGTTGTTATTCTTTACCATATATCACTACTTTATTAATTCCTTAATTGGAGATTGCTAATCTGGATTTCAATTGCCCTACCCTTTGACATGGTGTGGGTTTTTATGAGTTATGCTGTTTATCATTATGTTCACCATCTCTGAATTTGCTAAGCATTTGCCATCTACACTGCCTATGTCATAGTAACTATCATTTTACTAACCATTAGAAGTGGTTACCTATGCAGTGCAAAGCCAAGCTTCTTTCATGATGGTAACCGTGCTAATCTGTTTGAGGTAGAACTCGAGTCAGGGATGCTAATCAATACTGATAATGGTTCTCCTATGGCTCAGGTTGGTATGCTAATGTTGATAATTCATTGTATGTCGCATTATACACTTGTATCCTCTTATTTAATCTAGTTTTATTAAGTAATTTCATATTCCAAAAGGTTGGAAGTTCTTCACCTGCACCTACGTTATCGTTGAAGGGACAGAAGAAGGCTTGTAGAGTTTTCCAGGTATTCTTTTAAATATTTAGTGCATTATAGGATCATATTAATAGCTTTATCTGAATAGTTTATTTTCTATAACAAAACCTTCCGTTTTTCTGATTATTGTGTTAATTATTTCAACTTGAGTAATAGTGCCTTTGACATTGTTTCAGGGAGGCAGCGTTGGCCATCTTCATAAACTGCTTTCAATTGAGTCAAGTTCACAGGTGAACTATTCTTTCCTGGAAGTACATCAGTTGCAAGAAAAACCGATGCTACCAACAAACTTGGGTCTAATATTTTACACATTTTTCATAGGTTCTTTATGTTGGTGACCATATATATGGAGATATTTTGCGCAGCAAAAAGGTTCTTGGTACTGAGTCTTCTAATTTCCTTTTTTTTTTTCCTGATTTCAGTTATCTATGTCACTTCTTTAAACAATGTGCGTGTTTTCTTTCTTCTACGTTGCTTCCCCAAATGTGATCATATTTTCCCTAATTTCTTGTCTTTATGGATAGGGTGGAGAACAATGCTTGTCGTTCCAGAGCTAGAGAGGGAGGTTGAACTCCTATGGGAATTGAGAGATACCCGCAAGGTCTTTCTAAAACTTCTTGTGAAACTGCTGTAATGTAGTATCATGATCAACAAGCTAACTTGCATGCTGGTTCATACAGCAACTTCGATTGTTGAGGAATGAACGCGATCTGATTGAAGACAAAATACATCATCTAAAGTGGTCTCTCAAGTCAGTGTTCATCTAGAATTCTATAGTGCTTTTATTTATTAAATTTTTAATTGTGAGCAAAAATTTACACAGAAATGCTATTGCCCTTATCAGATATGATGATTTTAGTACCGTGGAGAAGCAAACATTATCTTCTGAATGCAATGCTTTGGAGGTAAGCCTGGTAAACTTGCCGAGTAAAGTTTATTTCAGATGTTGCTCAACAGTTGTGAAATTCGTATTTATACTTCTTAATGGCTTGATTTTATAGTTTCAAAGAGATCAAGTGCGTTTCGCCCATCAACAGGCTCAACGTGAATGTCACCAAATGGTAGTGATTCTCTTGTACAACATGAAACATGCTTCCTAGTTCTGAGGCTTTAGTCCAGTGGTATATGAGTTTGGTTTCAAGAATGTTGACTTGTGGTTTGCTTACATTTGCAGTTTCATAAGATCTGGGGGCAACTCATGAAGACTGGCTATCAGAACTCCCGCTTTGCCCATCAGGTGCGGTGTAAAATGGCGTCAACCTTTAAAAAAAACACACATTCTTACTTAAGCCTTTTTCTCTAAGATGGCATCAATTGGAACTGTGTTTTCATGATGCAGGTCGAGAGATTTGCCTGCCTTTATACTAGCCAAGTTTCCAACTTGAGTCTCTACTCTCCCGACAAATACTACAGGCCGAGCGAAGACTACATGCCCCATGAATTCGATATTCTTCCCCTGTGAAGCATGTTTGCTTCGTGATAAGAAGACGCGAGCATCTATGGATGATCTAGGTGAACTGTAAATGATTTGCTCCAATAGAGAACTGTAAATTAAGTGCTTAAAAGCCCTTTACTTTTCTTCGCCCCATATGTGGTACAAACTTTTCTGCATTCTGAATGAAATGTTTCTTGCATATTATGACTATCCTCCGATTCACTTTGATTTCTTTCTCTCGAGATGATCTAGGTTGTTAAGGACTTGTTTGGAAGTGTATTATGCAAAAGCATTTGGAAGTGCTTTTCTAGAAAGTGGTTCTCTGACATAGATGCACTTTTTAAGTTTGGCTTTTTAGCTATAACCCTGAGATTAGCACACTCTTCAATTTGGTCACTGACAACGAAAATGGATAGAAGTGGTCACTCTGGTGACCATGAATCATTTTGGTCACGTGAACGATTACATGATCACCCTTTTAAGGGTATTTTTGATATTGATGGATTTTTTTTATGGAAAAGTTAAAATAATGTGCAGTAGACAAACTCAGGGACTTTTATCGATTTTCATTGTCAAGAACTAAAGTAAAGACTTAATGCCAAAATATTTTAAGTGCTTTTGTTTGTCAGAAAAGTGCTTCCAGAAACAGTGCAAATGCTTTTGTATATGATGAAGTTTGAATTTTGCCAACCACGAAAATTCTTGTGTAAGATTTATTACCAATTTCCAATCTGTAACAAATTCATACTCCACTCGTGGGATCTTTTATAAAGCATCTGTCACTGAGCTTTGCAGCTTGTTTTCTTCAATTTAACAAGCTTATCATACCAATAACAATCTGGCCCAACTTTTAGACCAACTTCACTAGGCATTTCCAATCCGCCAGACAGCTCGTAATCTTTATCCGGCATCGTCATCGAGCTTAACGCAGAATCGCAGATGCAGAGCTTAACGCAGATACTGGTGGCCTGTGTGAAGACTATGTCGTTGTTCTTCATATCTAATGTTCATCTTGTCGCTCGAGATCTTGTATTTCAATTGGCTCAGGGAATATTTCACTTGATAACCTTTTGTGTGATGCAGAGGATTCCCGTTTTAAGCCACTGATACTCTCTCTGCTTGTGTGGCCAGGAGCGGTGGCGCTCTCTGATGAGCTCTGCTGCCAGCTACCAAAGAAAGCAGTGCTCCAGGATCTTCTCGATGAAGCTGTTCGCAGCCTTGCAGAGCTGGAACTCTCTTCCCTCACCACCTTTAGAGGGTTTTCCAATGCCTTAAGGATGTATTTCATCGGGGGACGCTTAGACGGCTTGGGGTTGAGGCAGGACCTGGCCACGATTGCCATGGCCCAAACTTCTTCCAATAGATCTTCATCTACTATCAGAGATGGGTCAACAATCTTATTCAACAGTTCCTTGTCATATATGCTGATGTAGCGCACCGTGTGATCCAACAACTCCCTTGTAGACGAATCATCAGATTTGCTGATGCCAAGCTTACCCGTTACAAGCTCAAGCAAAACCTTCCCAAAACAGTATACATCATATGAGCAAGCAGCTGATGCCGAGGCTGTCCATGCAGAAAGAAACGAAAACTAATTAATCTATTGAACGAGAAATATAAGGACCCAAGACTTGAGAGGTTTAACTGGGAAGCGAGATACAGGAACGAAATTTTCAGAAAAAAAGTTTCAAGTAGATTTACGTACCATAAGGGCTTTGTTCCAAGGTTCTGCATAAGACAGAACGGAAACTGTGACTATGTTTCTCATATATTATCCACGACTGAAGTATAATTTGATGAAAAATGCTAAAGATTGCATATGTTAGGAATGCAGGGCTACTCATAAGGAACACTTACTGTTGTTTCCGCAACAATCTCGTGATCACATTTGGGTTACCATCCCCTTCTTGCACACGGACCTCACTCCAGCTTCCAAGCCGGACCTCAAATTTATCATCGAGAAGTATACTGCTAGCTTGAACATCTCTTCAACAACCAAAAATAAACTTTCAATCGCTTTTCAACTAACTAAAATTAGCAAAATACAGCACAATTAAGCATGAAGTAAAAAACTATAGTCAGTCTGGGAACTACAGTCTCGAACGAAAGGTACCAAGTGGTGTAACCATAAACTATCAACCACAAGGCATACTTTGCCTTCAGTTTCAATAGTTGTATTTGTAACCATTCACTACCATTACGAAATCTTTATTTTGATAGACTAAGCAGGTTTATTAGACATAAATGACTTGAGCCAAAAAATACTACATTTTATTAGTACGAGGACTCGAAATCACTATAATTCATGAACAATGGCTATAAGATGTGACAATAGCTGAAAGCAAGATCAGGAATACCTGTGAACGAGTGGCGGGCTGCATTCATGATGTAAGCTAGGATTTCAGCAGCTCCAATTGCAATTTTTAATCTTGTAATCCAATCCAGGGACTGTAAATTGCCATCTCCTAAGTTGGTAACCCTGTGCAAGGAACTAGCCAAGTCTCCATTTGGCATGTATTTGTAAACCAGAAGCTTCTCGCTCTCATGCTCCAAGCAGTGACCCAAAAGTGGCACCAATCTCGTATGTGAAACCTTGCTGAATAAATCCATTTCTATCGTGTATGATTCTTTCTTTACGGAATGCAAATTTACCCTTTTGATAACTACAGGGGTTTCACTTGCCAAGGATCCTCGGTATATGTCTCCAGAGTGTCCATGTTTTATAAGATTTGCTTCACTGAAAGCAGAAGTGGAATGGAGAATCTGCTCATACGTAAATGAATCTCCTCGACCTGATGCATCGATGAGATCTTTGGGGAGTGAAGGGTCATCTCCTTCTGGAACAGGCCCAACATTTGCACTTCCACGTTGATTTGTGCCTTTATTGCACATTTTCAGGAGCACTACCAGAACCAGTACCAAAATCACAATGAAGCCGAGTCCACCAAATATCCCAACCAATATAAATGTTAATCGGTTCTTGCTCTTTGATTCAGGTTCTAGGAAAGGTGGCTGAGCTGGTTCTAGGGCCCCAAAATCATCGAAACTTAAACCCCTCTCTTCATAAAACTGCCTACAATCCTGCAAACTCCTTTGATTTGGTACAATCTGTAGGCAATTTCCAGTAAGAGTATCATTGCTTTGACTATCTTCTAATACCTTGCCTTGGAAAAAATTATCAGACAAATCGATTGAGACAAATTTCCCAACAGGAAATGTAAGATTTCCATATAACAGATTATGAGAAAGGTTGAACACAGCGCCACTAACACTAGCATTTGAACCCAGGCTCGGTAGAGTTCCTGTAAAATTGTTGCGGGATACATCGAGAAATCGCAAACTGGGAAGTGACCACAAGGCACCAGGAAGAGCACCATCAAATTTATTCCGACTCAGAACCAGAACTTCCAGCTGAACAAGACTCGAAAACAAACCCTCCGGCAATGGACCTTCCAGAGCATTATCTCCAATACCCATCCTCCTCAAACTCCTCAACCCTCTCAGTTCCACAGGCAATGACCCAGACAAAGTGTTCTTGCTAAGATCAAGCTCAACCAACCGGGAAAGGTTACTAAACTGAACCGGAATCGAATCGGTGAGACTATTATCAGACAAGTCCAAGAACTTAAGCCTTGAAAGGGTTCCCAAACCTGGTGAAACCGACCCAGATAAGAAATTTGAAGAAAGGTCAAGACTTTCAAGCTTTCCAAGATTGGCAAAGCCAGAAGGTATGGACCCAGTAATCGCATTCCTCGAAAGATCAAGAATTTCCAACTCTGTTATGTTTATCAACGCAGAAGGTAAAATCCCAGTAATATCATTGCCAGATAAATACAAAGAAGTAAGATTTTTCAAATTACCAAGCGACTGGGGAATAGAACCAATGACTGACGCAGACCTAAGGTCGAGCACCTGGAGTGCACCAAGTCTTTGGCCAAACCAGTCGGGTATGGACCCAGGAAGCGCGAACCCGGAGGCGTTGAAAGAAGCCAAGAGGGTGATATTAGCCAGTGAATCGACGGAGAACCGGGGGTTTTGCTGGCCCACTCGGGTTCGCCTCAAACCGGACACGGTAATTCCAGTGACACGGCCGTTCTTGCTGCATGTGACTCCGGTCCAGGATGAACATGGGTCGGCCTTTCTGGGCCAGTTTTTGCTTCTGAGACCCAACGAAGACCGGAGCTCCAGTAACGCCGACCGCTCCATGTCGGAGCTCAAAGAACCCTGCTGCGCAAAACCACTCTGAATCACGAACAAGATTAACGCTACGGCAAAGGCGCCGACTTGGGCTCTCGCCCCCATTGCCGTTTTAGTTACAGATAACAACTTCATGGTCGTCAATGGAAATTCTTCTCCGTCTTGGTCTCCACCATTTCTCTGATAATTCTTCTTTTCTCTACCAAGATTAAAAATTTCAGCAACTCAAGAAAACCCACCAACCAAAATTGCGAACTTCAAAGACCCAACAAACAAAACTGAAAATTAAGAGTACTCTGCGAAAAGAGAGTGGGTTTGAAACTTCGAAGGAGGAGGAGGTAGAACATTTAATGAGAGAGAGGAGCAGTGAGGAGTGCGCCCGCTCAACCAACGGCCAAGGCTGTGTCTATGTCTTTGTATTGTGGAGTCACTGTCAGAGCCACCGGAAGCCATTAATGAAGCCATGTTCAGTTTCAGTTATGGCTTTTGGTGGTGTGGTTGAAAATATTGAAATATTGATATTTAGTTTTTGGAAAGAAAAATGCTAAGACACTCTTTGTGATTATTGTAATTAACTTGGAAAGATAGTAAGAGAATTCTCTTAAAAGTAAGATTCTCTATAAACTCTTTATTATTGTTTTAAAGGAAAACTAATAAAAAATACTTGAAAACTTTGAGTTTTAATGATAAGGACAAAATAAAAGGTAAAATGAATAGTATCAAGATTGATTTTTTAGTATACAAATGTGATTTTTCGTTAAAATGAACAGTACCGAGAGTTTTTCGTTAAAGTTCCCTTGTTCCAATTAAATTAAAATTAAATGATCATTGTTATAATTTACTTTATATAATATTATGAAAAATATGAGGTGTCTGACGATTTATATTGAGAAATGCTAAGGAGACTCCACCTCATATTTTTAACATGATATTTTATGATGTTTTGCACAAAATTTAACATTAAATTATAAGACGACAAAAAGTCGATAAAAATCACACTTTGAGAGTATTCTTCGTATTTCTCTTTCTCTAATTACTATTTTGATGTTTGTACTTTGGCATTGTGTTTGGATTGGAGAGGATCACATCACATTTTTATTAAACAGACCATCATCTTTTTCTTTTAAGCGCGTCTTTGCCTTTGATTTTTCTTCTCTCTTTTTCCATATGGAGTTATTGACACCTTTAGCCTCATTTCACATACTTCCACAAAATATTTGGCCAGAATGATAGTGATATCTAGTGTTTTTTTGTTCCAAATTCAATTAAGATAAGCTCAGATAAGTCATTTTCTTATAAAAAAAAGTTTAATTAATGTCGCTTTCTTGTGAATTTGGACGAATAATTCAAGTTTGAAACTTCTTTTAATGTTGTAAATAAAATGTCGGTATTACCAGTATGATATGGTACTTTATGAATTTCACTGAAGAACAAAATATGACACTATGTTGACCTTGAATTTTTTTTTAATCTTTATTTCTTTAAGGATGATCTTTGTGTTTTTCTTGAGTTACTCGTGCATGTTTTTCATCAAAAACGAAAAATAAAAATAAATGTAAGTTCATCTAATTAACAACCAGATAAAATTACATATGTTTTTTTGGAAACAAAAAGTTTGAGAAGAGATTGACTTCTCTCCGCATATTCACAATCTTGAATTGGATGGACTTACGTAAAAGTACATATGTTGCTAGTTATTGACTCACGTAATTAGATAAGAATTTGGGCAAGTATCAAGATATTATCCCCAAATTTAGTATTAAAAGTTTAAGTACCTAACTATTAGTTAATTGGTGAGAGACCAAGACTTTTTTAACACCTACACTTTGAATAACTCTTGATTCGTCCTCAACTTGAACCAAAGTATAGTTAAATGATTATTCTAAGGACTTTTATGTGCTTTTGATGATTATTCAATTAAAGAAAAATGATAATTGAGGGATTCTGTTTACATTGAGACTCTTCATAAACTCTCTGTCACCTCATATTTTTACCACATGTTTTATAATGTTGACACGATAATTAACGCTAAACTGTGAGAAAATAGACAGTCTAAGAAGAATCCCTAAAAGACGAGACTGACTACGTCAAACATATCTTTCTACTTCTGACTCTCACACGAATGAACATGGCGGCCCGAAATTGAGTAAAAGAGCAGCCCATCACCTTTCATTTATTTTAATAAGGGGCGTGCTATCCACACACCATTTTTTACTTCTCACACACCCCTTGTTAAATTATGTCAGTTGATATTCTTCAATTCATCCGATCCGACGGCTGAAAACTAAAAAAATATGAGAGAAGTAAAAAGGGATGTGTGGATATCACACCCCTTTAATAATTGTGATCAAGAGCATACATCGACCCACTAATCATCATCTCATCTGGTCAGAAGAAAAAAAAAAGGAGCTTTCTTCCCATTCCAAATCTTAGCATTCCTCTTCATGTAAATTATGCAAAATAATTTATCAAAGTAATGATGTGAAGAAAATAAAATTCAAAGTGGAAAACTATAAATTTCCTTGGGGCCACAAAGGGATTTAGAAAAGTATGATGGCGGCCAACAATTATGTTCTTAGTCAAATATTAACTCCAAAAATGCAAAAATTATGAATTGTCCGGTCAAAATATGAAATGGGCAAATAATAAAGCGGGTAAACTGTCGGTTTACCCCCTGAACTTTCACCTCACTTTCGATTTCCCCCCTGAACTTTTCTATTGGAAAATTAAGGACTCAAACTAATTTTTTTAGCCAATTTGCCCCCTACCGTTAGTTTTTCATATATTCCATCCATATTTCCGTTAAGTGAGACCATGTGCATAACATGTGAGGATAGTTAAGTCATTTCAATTTAAAAATGATTAAAAACTGAAAATATTATTTTGCCTCTATTTTTTCCCGCTAATTCCTATCCTCAATTTTAATTTTCCATCTCATTCTTATGCATGAGAAATAACATATGGTGGTATTGTCTTCATAAGTAGCTAAGTTAATCTTTTTTTTGAAGCATGTACTACCATTTTTATTTTCTCTAACAAATTAATAATTTGACAAATGCTCATGGTGTTATTGTCTCCAAAGCAGTGCATTAATACAAGAAACATGTCCATAAAAAAACTAGGGTTTCTTATATTAATGCACTGCTTTGGAGACAATAGCACCATTAGCATTTGTCAAATTATTAATTTGTTAGAGAAAATAAAAATGGTAGACAATAACACCATATGTCATTTCTCATGCATAGGAATGAGAGGGAAAAATAAAATCGAGGATAGGAATTAGCGGGAAAAAATAGAGGGAAAGTTTTGCTTTTTTTATTATTTTCAGTTTTTTAATCATTTTTAAGAGTGAAATAACTTAACTACCCTCACATGTTGTGCACATGGTCTCACTTAACGGAAATATGGATGGAATATATGAAAAACTAACGGTAGGGGGCAAATTGGCTAAAAAAATTAGTTTGAGTCCTTAATTTTCCAATGGAAAAGTTCAGGGGGGAAATCGAAAGTGAGGTGAAAGTTCAGGGGGTAAACCGACAGTTTACTCTAATAAAGCGATGGGAATGACATAAAGGCCAAAAGCAAGTCTCCCACTCCCACAAACAAAAGGGAGAAAAAAACAACGACTTTGTGGGAAAATGATTGTGGCCTACGTGGCATTTTTATCCACGGAGTCCGACATTGACCCGACAGCCTCCGCGTCAAAATCATTGCAAAATGAAATTTCATAGTTATCGGCATTTTGTTTTTTAATATTATGAAAACTAATAAAAATTATTTGAAAATTTTGAGTTTTAATGGTAATGATAAAATAAAGGGTAAAGTAAATAATACTAAAATTGACGTTTTAATATAAAAATGTGGTTTTTCGTTAAAATAAACAATATCATGAACTTTTCGTTAAAGTTCGCTTTAATATTTGTCTAATATGTCCCTTAAAAAAATAAAAAAATTGACTACTCAAATATGAGTAGAAATTCTTCAAAATTCTCATTAACGGAGTTTTGTATTTGTGATCAGAATTGTTCAGAGTTTTGTTGCACTATGTGAAGATCATCTTTGCAAAAAATGAATTAAAACTAAGGTCGTCTAGTCAATCTATGGTATCAAATAGATAGACGATTTGTAATGCTTTTATCGATTATGCTCATCTGTTTTTACACAGTTAGATGACTAAACGGTCTTAATTTTAATAGATTTTTTTTGCAAATGTGATGTTAAAGTTATTTATAATATAAACGGTTTTGATCATAAAAATGAAGCTCTATGAATCGGCAATAAACAATTTTGAATAGAAACTCTTACTTATTTTTTGAGTAGTCAAGTATTATTCTCAAAAAAATTACAGACCATATCCTTTGTACAACATCGCACAAATCGTTTTTCTACGACAAAGTTTATCGCAACTGTTAAAAAAATCTTACTTTAAACGTGACACATGGATAAAGTTTTTTTTTTTTTTTTTTAATTTCTTCTCTGACCCACCACCACCCCGCTTTCTCTCTATCCTCCGCTTTTTCCTTGTCGAAACTCCAAGCACACCATTCAAAAGGGGTAGATTCGATTTCAACCAGTTTATTTTTTGCTTAAACCATACTAAATTATAGTTCAGTTTAGTTTGGTTCGATGTTTTTTTTCGGTTTTTTGGTTCAATTTGACATTGACCCAAAATTGCCTTATCTCCTACAACAAGGCTATTTTGCCTCACGAAACCTTCTTAGGTATTTTTGCCCAAGGCATTTGCCTATTCCCTTGAAACCTTCATTGGAGATATTATTAGATTGTGGCACTACAAACCATAAAAAAAGGGGAAAAAGTTCCCACCATGGATATTAGGTTGTACTTGGAAGTTTATCTAAATTAACCAAAAGTGTTTTTATAGTGTTTGACAAACAATGTTAAAAATACTTAGCTTTATTAATTAATGAAACCATCTTTGTCAATCAAAAGATGATGAAAAGACTACTTAGTCTTCTATCACACAAAAAAAATGATGGGCAATAATGTAATTTCACAGGTACAAATTTTACTGTTTTTTATTGAAGTCTCACTTACATGTTAAAATACCTCCAATATTAAATATAAAAAAAACCGAAAACCAAAAGTAAAAACCTTCCACTCCCCCACGTTCTCTCTCTCCCTCTCTCCTTCTCATTTAAAAAAAAATGTATTGGTACACATAAAATATGTAGGCAAATGCTAGTATACAATATAAAAAAGTACTTAAAATACTTTATAGAATAAGCACCTGTTTGTGTGCTTCGTGAATGAAGAACATCAAATGTATATTTTTTCACTTAGGGCCAGCCAAGAAAAAGAGATAGCCCAAGAGTCATGATTTGTGTGGGCTTTTAGTGAGCATTTTTAGTTGGCCCAATTTGTCAATAATATGAAAACATAAAAAGTATGTATTTATATGTTTTAAGGCATGTTTTGGTACTGGGGTGATTTTGAAAAAAATTGGGTATAAAAAGAGACACGGGTTTCGGACAACCAATTCGGGTTCATGCCAGGGCGCTCAACCATGGAGGCAATCTATCTCTTACGAA